TTGACAAAATTTCGCTTGTCAGACTAGCATGAAATCTTCTGCCCAAATTACATCTTTCGTTTAATTTTTCACCGCGCGTTTTTTGATTTCTTTTTGGCAACTCAACACCTCTAAAACCTATTAAAAGTTTTTTTTTGTAAGCCAGTCAACTGTAAATGAAAATTTGCTATGCCTGCTAAGCTTCCAGATTTCGCTGTCTTAATTAGTGAAATATTAATGAGAGGAAACCTATTAAATAGGGAGCATTATTATTGAGAAGAGCTCTGGAGTCGTTGTCTCTTGACAAAGAGGAAACCTTGTTTCTGATTTTAGAAAACGAAAGATTTTCCTTATAGCCCAGTTTGGAGGTGTTATTTTAACGAACATTTATAGAACTTATAGCAGTTTTTAATTTTAGTAAAAGAATTTGTCTATCTTGGCCAGCATTTCGTGGAAGATCTATTACGCTAAACGTCTATTACTGCGTTTGTTGTCAGCAGTAATGTTTGCTATATGACTATTTTGACGCGTCTACTAGCTTTTTAAGGCCTCATTAAGTTTTAAGTTGATTAATTGCAGATTAAATTGTCTGGAAGATTACGCTATCGGCAACTGCAAGCACAATACTTGGAATTCAGCAAGAGTGTACTTTCAAATTTTCTGTTTTAACTTCGGGAAATGCAAAGTTATTTAATTGTTTTTTGTGACAACTTACGGCAGTAACATGAGTTGAGAAGCTTATCGACTAGCGTTACGCAGTTTGAAGATATTTGCAGAAAGGTTGGAAACACTTTCTAATTTTCAAGTTGAAATGAATAAGAAAAGTGGTGAGCCTTATATAAAAAGAAATTTTTCCGAGAATGGCATCCCCTTAATTCTGCTACACCTTGTCAACCTGTTTGTCGGTAACAGAATTAAATAGATCATACTTCTTCGTTGAGAATGGGATATTTTTAAGAGGAAAGGTATATTACGTTATAAGAATCGCAAAATATTAGATTGTTTGTGGAGTTTTGGAGAGTCTCAGACAAAATCAGAAACCGACTGTCTTACGAAACAAAATTGCATATTGATTGTAGGTTAATGGTGTTCAAAATAGTCAGTTTCCTCTTTGTAATTGGATTTCCAAAAAAAGCTGGCACGAGAAAGGGAGCTGAATGAAAAAAAATTAGGAAATTATAGCGAACACTACTGACTTAGGGTTATAAGCAATTCTGCTGCAAAAAAGTTCTGAAACGTGTTTGGCGAAGACCTTGCAGGAGTTTCCAAAGGCTGCTACATCACGCCTACCGTTGTTCGCGCGCTTCCATTTCTTCAGAAGCTCAGACACTTTTGCTAGCAAGCGAAAACGTGTTAGTATGACAATATAAAGTTGCACTTCTCAGGTTCTCATAAAAACGATTTTTCCAACGAGTAATTTTGAAATTTGTTTTGAAGGGACAGTACAATTAGAATGATTTGTATTTTGATTTTACGAGCGCACTGTGGGTTAAGGCATGAGGCTTCATAGCTACGTCTGTTCTTGTCAGTTTAAGATAATGAGGTCAAATATATTTACTTTCAATCGTGAGGAATAGTAAATGAAGCTTAAAAGTTTTTACGTCTATTTTCTTGTGCTGATTACATGACTCAGCAAGGTCTAAGTTGGCTATCTAAATGTTTTTAAGAATGTAGTATTCTACGAACAGACATCTTGATTTTTTTTTTGAACTTTTTATGGCTTGTAAAAATGCAAGTACCAGACTAGATCTACTTTTCATAGCATTTAAGAACAACATCTTTCTCACTGGCTGTTATTGTATTGAAATCTTAATAACTGCATCTCTGCCTAACTTTTCCAATTCTAGAAATTTGTTATTTGTGTGTTAAAAATTTTGTTTACTTTATGCTATGTACAAATTTACATATCACTTGATAGGAAAAGACAACTGAAGGAGTTTTCTGAAGAATAGTTTTTAAAAACACAGTGTAATTCAGTAAAATTTGGTTCCTAACTTTGTGACCAAAAAATATAAGAATTTTAAACTTTTGTGCTGGTAAATCCACAAAATTTTTTTTTCTTTGTAAAATGCATAGACAAAACCGTTACCTGCAAAACCTTGCACGGCTTTAGAAGGTACTTCACCTCGTCTTTATTTTGTAAAGGCCACACCACGATTTTATTTGAAATGTTGTGCTGCTTTTCACATTTTTCCGTCGATGACAGTATTGAATTCCACAACTAGATCAAAAATTATTACTATGTTTGACAAATTTGAGAAATATAGCAGAGTTGCCTTCTTTTTCGAGCCGCATTTATTTTAAAGCGGTTAGACTTTTTTAAAATCCAAACGGCTTTATCAAAAAAGTGTTGTAAAAATCTTCCTTTTTTCTTCTCTTTTTCTACGAAAAAGGCCGGAAGCTTCTTGTTAATGAAATATTTTGAATTATAAACCTTTGTTGATTCGTAAGAATTTTAGTGAAAGATTTTAGCATTTGTTGTTCATTGTTGCTCATTGTTAGAATACTTCATTCTTTTGCATAAGAAACCGCGTTAAAAATTTTGCTGAGAAAATTTCTAATTGACTAAAATATGACTTTCGGTAAGCTTTCAGAATTTATAAGCTAAAAGACAGCACTGTGGAGTGAAACGATATTTTTCAAGCATTTTAAATGGCGTGTTTGACCCCACGTGAAGTAATTTATGTCCGCAGCTTCTCTTGACGTTGTGGACGAGAAAATGAGCTCAGAGCATAAATATATTAGAAATAAACAGTAGTTTTAAAAAGCGATGTTAGCAGAGTTTCGAAACTACAGTACAAATTAGCAGTATACGCCAACAACATTTTAATAAAACAGGTAACACAATCGGCAACTAACACATTTTGCCATTCTTTTAAAATAAAAATTTTGAAACAAAATGCTTACCTGCTTTTTACCGACTTCAAAAAACCTGTCTAGAAGACATTGTCGATATTCCGCGAAAAGTGGTGGACGCTTTGTTGCAATGAAGCGCTTAAAAGTTTATCGTGCTTTTAAAATATGCATTTCACAATGCACCTCGCAGACGCTTTCTTTATTGTCTTGAATCTCAATCTTTTAGTAATTAAATAGTTCTGTTGCTTCTTTTCTTGCTCCGCCGAAGATTTTTTTAACGATTGACGCCTTTACATTTTTAAGTAATTGAATTAAGGTTTCAAATGGGATTTTATAAACTTTTTCAACGGAACAAAAATCTCAATAAGTTTTTTTTATCACTTTAGTTGACTCATTTTTCAAACCATAATTAACAAAACTCTGGGAATGCTTCTTTACGGGATTAGCTCAAAACTGTGACCATAGAAACGACTTACAGAAATACGTTTAACGGTCTTTGAGTGGCTATTGAATTTCACAACTGTTATCCAAAAGCAGAACAGGAAAATGCAGAAAATTATGCAAGAACCTCTTGTACAGCTATAACAGTTCGTTCCCTGTAGTTTTCGCATGTTCAGTTTAGTGCACCACTACGACAAGAGTTTGCAGTAGATCTATATGGATAAAAACTGGCTAAAAATTTTGATTTGAATATATTTTGTATAAGAAGCCGTGTAATGGTTTACAGTATATCAACTTACAATTGCTGTTTAAGCGTGGCCGATAATTCAGTGTTTTCTGTTTATCACGTTTGTAGTAGGACGAAGGAAATTTTCAAACATGAATAAATATATATTTGACAACAAAGATAAGTTGTTGAAGATAGCGGAGAATCAGCTTCATAATATTCTGCACTATTTTATCTCGACTTCTTAGTCTACTGTTACTGTTAGCAACTCTGCATGCCATAATTTATAGGTTAGAACTGTTTTTGTTGAAAAGAAAGTTAGAATGAACTGTTAAAGAATTTTAATTGTAGTTTTTTCTAATAATTTGAGCTTTTCTACTCTACTTTTTTTCTCTTCAATATTCTTTAGTTATAATAACTTCTCTCTAAAATCTGTTTATCTACATTATATTCTTTAAAAATCGATTACAGTAGACCATAACTATTTGGATCATACAAATTCTTTATTTAAAATTTCTGAAGATTATGAGTTTTATATGGTTGTCTCAAATTACATAGTAAGATTCATTCCCAAATGTTGATTTCTTCTGTAATCGTACGCTATCGTGTATTGAGCGATCATAAGAATTGCTTGTATTTTTTCTTGTAGCTAACTAAGAAAACTCTACCAATTTAAATTTGTTTTTCATTTTTGAATAAATACCTGTAGTCAAACATTTTAAAATATATTAAATTCATATATAACGATATTTTATTCTTAAGCAAAACGTTGTCATTTGCAGAAGAGCGATAATGTTGTGTGAATTAAAGGTTTTTGCATTCTAGTCACTAATTGTTCTATAATTCTTGATGGCATAAAAATGCCACTATGCAGTTCTGATAAGTGATGTAAGAATTTATGGCTTTAAATTTTTTTGAAAAATTTTAAATAAGTTTTTTTTAACAAAGAACGTTTTCATTTTCACTTTTGTCTTAATCCTCTGTGTAGCTTGTCACATATGTATTTTACCACTTTTTTGAGTATACAGAAAGCACAGCTTTGAAAGAAGTAAAAATTAAGAAGATCTGTCGTAAATGTAAAAAAATATATCTAAAGGTTGTAATGATACTCAATGTCTAGGAAAAACTGTGTTTTGTTTCTCACTTTGTCGACTTGTCAAAACAAGATCTA